CGGTGAACTCAAACCGGTCTAGATCCTCATGCCTCTGTTATTTTAACCATTCCTTGTGATTATGGTTGCTAAAGGGAATTAAAAAAACCTTACAGAAGTGGATACAGTTGCCCTGGGAAAACTTGTCGGCTTCTTTTGGGTTGAGCTGCTTCAGACCTCCTCGCTCTTGCACAGCCCCCATCCCTCCCTCTGCAGACAGCCATCTCCCCGCAGCCACAGGGAGGTTTGGGGAGGGCAGGACTGTCCCATCATCATCTTCTCCCCCAGCACGGCTGGCAGTGCTGTAGGTCTTGCACTGCGCCAGCGACCAGCCCTTCCTCTGCAATCTGGGTGTCCCCTTCCCACCCCGTCCTGGCCAATGCAACACCAGCAACCTAAGCTCAGCACCAGCCACTGTTAATGGCAATGTAAAGTCATTTTCTTTTGCATGTAGCTGGGTTAGGTGATGTCTGTGTCTGAGGGAGCAGTAGGTGTGAGAGGAAGGGTCACTATCTCCGGTAACCACCGCAGCACTGCCTGTGGGAGCACCCTTGTCCCTGCCTGCGTGCGCCGGGCACCAGGGCAGCTCTTCCCCTGGGAAAAGGACAGACCTGCATCCACACGGAGGTCCCCTTACACTCATGTACCTGAACCCCTGCTCACAGCACTCCTGCTCTGGTGAAAGAGGACAACCTAACCAGAGGAGCTACGAGGCATGACCTCCTTTGCAAATACAACTCAGGTCCTCGTGCCCCTGTGAGCCAGGGTCAAGGACTGATGCCCGTTGCCACTGGCTTTAGGCTGCTCATCTCTGAATAGGTGTGAGAGCCCTTTTATAAGGCAGTCCTCCCCCTTTTCCCTCCAGCAGTGAGATTTCTCAGCTTTAAAGCCTTGTTTTCCCTGGGAGAGAAGCTGCTGGAAGCCGAGCGGCGAGGGCACAGCGGGGCAGGGAGAGCATGTTTGGAGGGTGTTACGGGTGGGAGGGATGTGCCAAGGAAGAAAGCTGCTTCCAGGGATCTATATATACGCAGCTCCCTGAGGTGGGGTTACAGAGAAGCTCATTCCCGGGCTGCCTGCGGCAATCCCTGAACAACGGTGGATTGTTTCAGAACATGGCCTCGAGCAGCCGAGACAAGACGGGGTTCGACTGTGGTCCCCACAAGCACAAGAGGATAACCTGCCCAGGGTCACCGCCACGCTGGAGGTTTGCACGCTCCTGGCCTCGGTTCTGCACCAGAGGGTGTAGTTTCAAGGTTGACAGGATGTCCTGGAGGGGGGAAGAAGGAGACCCCCTGGGCGATAAAAGTTTTCTCCATCATCTGCTCATCTCCATCACACCCAGCGCACGTCCACAGTGGGAGCCAGCAATACTCCCACCTTTCCCCGCTGCACAGCAGTCAGAAGCTGCTTTATTTTTCAGGTCCCGAACAAATAATAAACAGAGCCTTTGCCAGCTGCAATTACAACTAATTCCCCAGGCTTCAAGCTGGACCCTTTTGGTCCTCTCAAAGGCTGTTCTGCCCCTGAGGGACTGAAGAGGATTCCCAAAGCTGCCAGCAGTTCCCGGGACAAAGCGTGAGGCTGGGGGATGCTCCTAAGGGCCCTGTCACTAAAGCTGCCCACCCGGCGTGACGGCATCTGTTCCACGTGGGAGCCCTCCACAAGCAGCACTGCCTGCAGTTATCCATCGGTTGATCAATAGGTTACAGTCACCCTCATGTGCTCCTTTGGCCAGCCCCAGGAGGTGCACCATGGAAATCTATACATCTGAATAGCTCTTTTAGTTATTTTTTAAAGAAAAAAATGCCTGTTTGGTTCAAAAAGAAAGAAAGAAAGAAACCCTAACAAGCAATGTTCCTTTTGATTAAATTTTTTTGTGGATTAATGACATGGAAACAGCAAAAATTTTTCCTATAAAATAAAAGCATTTGAAGTTTTGAACAACTGCGCTTTGAAGGGCTTCGTTTTAATGCTTCGCTTTCAAAAATAAAGATTGCCACAGAATTTGTTACTTAGGAGTTTCCTGTGAAAACTCATGGTAATTTTCAAGTAGTCTCTATTTTGCCCTTTTACTAAACCTCGCTGAATAAATGTTATTGGCCAAATGCCCACAGAGATTCACAGTCAACTGAGTACGCAGTGGAGCTGCACTGGTGTTGGCACTGAGGGGTTGTTAGGTCCTCTCAGCAAAGCCAAACCCAATACATACTGTAGGTCAAAGTGCTTTTTGTTTCTGCAGTTTTGGAGCCCGAGGGGAGAACCATGTTGGGGTGCCAGTTCCCTTCCCAAACTGGGGACAGGGTCGTGATGTTCTGTGGGAGGTAGCCCATCCTGGGCCATGTTCTGCTCTCAGTGCAATGCAGATTATCACATTAGCAAAAGCTCTATTAAAATAAAATTAGGAGGCACCTTCAGTACCCTCATCTTCTCCAGGATTCCCTTTGTTCTTCTGCTCAGAGGCTCTCTCAAGCCTGTCCCTCAGAACCCAGGTTTCCCCTGTTACTTAGCTTCTTAAATAATTTTGCTAATGGCCCAGACACCTGCAGACCCTGGAGAAGCTTACATCAAAACCCAGTCATGGCTGTGCCTTTCAAGCTCATTTAAACAGCCCCACATAATGTTTGTCCCCTCAAGGACTCTTTTTTTCTTGAGATTTTCCATCCCGTGGTGATATTTGCATCCAGGGCAGCTTCTCGCATTGCCCACTGGGTGCAACTGAGGGTTGTCCTGCACTGGTCCAGCCCCAGGTGTAGCAGGCTGTGGAGCAAGCAGTCTGCTACAGCCAGAGGATGCTGTTGGTGCAGGCGAGAGCCATTCTGCCATTACACTCCCTCCCGCAGCACGTCGGTGAAAACTAAATTGAAATTAAATTGAAAATTAAATTTAATAAATTTAATTGAAATTAAAACCTGAACAGGTTTGGTTTGGTAGGCTGTAAAATTTGTTGTATCTCAGCTCATTGGTTGAGCAACCAAAACAACAAAACAAACCAGACATTTTTTTCAGCTGTAAAAATGCACTTTTTGGCACTTCTTAGCTTCAACAGGATGAAACTGGCACTAAGACTATTGAGAATACCTGATGCTGTGGGTTAGTACAAGAAAAAACGCTGCTGTTAGAGACAGCAGACAACGAGATGCCAGCAGCAGCACCAGCTTCCCTGCACGAGGCAGTGCCCGTGCAGCGCCCTGGCTGCCGGAGGATTGCCCTCTGCCCATGGCTGCGCTTGTGAGCGGTCCTAAACCCAAGTTTGGCACTGCAAAATCCAGGTCTTGATTCAGAGGGAGCGAGCATCCCCTGCTCCCACTGATTTTGATCAGGTTGGAGGGAGGGTGGCTGGCTCAGCATGACTCCCCCCCCCAAAAAAATCAGCCCCTTCTGTTGTGGGTTTAGGACCCTAACTTTAATCACGCAGGTGGAAAAGCCGAGTCTGCACTGGTACCCCACAGCGAGTGCTGTCTAATCCATGAGGCTGCTTTTCTAACTTAACTTTTATCCATGCTTCTTAAACAGCCTTTTAATCAAATAACAGAAGCAGGTCCTAAAATCCATCTCGTAACACCACTTAAGCCACAACTGAACCTGAGATCAGGGGTCAAGCACCGAGGACTTAACGTTAGTTAAGCAGCTCCCCAAATCGCAACACAGAGCTGTCAGATTAAATATGTGTCACTACGCAATAACTTCCACACATGGCAAGTAAAAGCTCGTGTTTGGTTTTTAAGAAGCAACCGTGTTCCTGCTTTCCGGTCCAACCCCACTCAGAGCGCGATCTCGGCTCAGGAGCTCCTAGGGCTGCCTGGGGCCCTCCCTGCCCCCAGATTCCAGGGAAGGATCGGGCCAACTCCTCCTGCAGGCTTTTCCTTTGGGATAGGGCTACAAAAAATGTATACTCAAGTACGGATCTCTCTTTAATGCAGGTAAAACCAGCCAAAATACGAAAGAAGTGCACCCTTAGCATAGTTGCAGCAGAGCAAAAAAACCTTCCTGGGCTGGAAGTTTAGCTGAAAATCATCTTTTTTTTTCCCAGCACTGCTGTCTCCCACAGCAAAGGGACACCCCAAATGTCAAGCACTGCTTTCCTGCCAGGTCCCTGTGTTCCAGGAGGAGTCTTTCTCCAAAGGCTGCCTGCTCCTGCACATGTGCCCTGACCGGGGGAGCTGTGCCAAGCCTGGCAGGGCTTTAGGGTGGCTCCCTTAGGGAGCCGAGCACGTGGTGGGGTGGAAGCAAAGAGGCCCCCCCGCCCCCCCCCCCCCCCCCAGTAAAAAAGAAGTGAGACAAGCAGGGGCAGCTTCCCCACCTCCCACCCTGCTCTGCCTCCTCATAGGCAAAAAGGGCAGGCGAACCCCTGCGGCAGGGGGAAGCCCCTGGGGTTTTCCTTCAGGCTCCCAGGGAGTCCCTGTGTGAAGGATCTGGCCCCGGGAGAAGGTGGTCCCTTTGTCGGCAGCCCCTCATCCGTGACCACTGGCAAGGGCAAGCGAGTCAGGCAGGGTGAGGAAGTGGCCCTGCCTGCCCTCGGCCCCCCAGGGACAGCATGATGGCAGGCGGGTTTCCCATAAGCGGAGTGGAAAGCTCTTTATTTAACCTGCCCCCGCCACCTGCCCTCAGCCCCAGCCTTGCCTCTGTCCATCACGCCTGGGAGCTGCATGAGCATGCCAGGGCTACTTTTTTGGCAGGCCGAGCCAAATAAAATCCTTTGCAAGCCAAGGCTCCAGGTAACCCTTTCCTTTCCTCCCCCCCCCCGGGTCTAGGAGAAGCACGTTGCAGAGTGGCGGGCACCCACCTTGCAGCGGCAGGATGCAGCACAGAGCCACCCCCAGGCTGCTCTCAGCACCGCTGAGCTGCCTGCAACCCAAGCAAGTCACACAGAGCTGGCTCCTCCGGCTGGGGTCCTGTTCCCTCCCCAGTCCTCCTCCTGTCTGGGGAGGTCCAGCCCCACCACCCACCGCCCTCACTGTTTGGTGACGCGCCACGTCAGCGAGTGATGGAAGAACCCAGGCAAATGACGACAAACAACCGAATTAGGGGTGTGACAGAATGACTGATGATTTAATGCTTCTTGAAGTTTTTTGTTTCCTTCCACAGGGCATTGGTTTTAAAAACAAACAAAACGAGGTAAAATAAATTAATTTATGTACACTTTACATACACTGTGTCACATGGAGCTTTGCAGCAACAGTAACCAGAAACCGTTACAAAATAGAAAGTTACATGGCTGTTGCAGGTCCTTGGCAGGCTGCAACCTAGAAGGCTGTCATCCTGAGTGTGGCTGGCAAAACGATCATGTAAACGTGTTTAGAAGCATTTACGGTGGACAATGGATGGGCCAGCTTCATCGTATTCCTGCTTTGTGATCCACATCTGCTGGAAGGTGGACAGGGAGGCCAGGATAGAGCCACCGATCCAGACAGAGTACTTACGCTCAGGTGGGGCAATGATCTAGAAAAAGCCAAGAGAGCCAAGATGAGTAAACAAGCAACCGCTGTGGGTGGCAGGCATCGGGGTGTGCACAGCCCCGCACGCTGTTTGCGGGAGGGCAAACGAAGGCAGCTCCTGCACCTGGGTCCTTCATGCTCCAGCCTTACCTTGATCTTCATTGTGCTGGGGGCCAGGGCTGTGATCTCCTTTTGCATGCGGTCAGCAATACCTGGGTACATGGTGGTACCCCCAGACATGACATTGTTGGCATACAGGTCCTTCCTGATGTCAATGTCACACTTCATGATGCTGTTGTAGGTGGTCTCATGGATCCCTGCGGACTCCATACCTGGGGGCAGGGAAGAAGAGAAGAGCAGACACAAGTTAAGCACAAAGTGAGAGCTCTATGGGAGGACTCAGGAGACAGGGGAAAACTGGCAGGGGAGGAGAGAGGGAGGGGGGCACACACACCAATGAAGGAAGGCTGGAAGAGGGTTTCTGGGCAGCGGAAACGTTCATTGCCGATGGTGATGACCTGCCCATCAGGCAGCTCGTAGCTCTTTTCGAGGGAGGAGGAAGAGGCAGCGGTGGCCATCTCGTTCTCAAAGTCCAGCGCCACATAGCACAGCTTCTCCTTGATGTCGCGGACAATCTCACGTTCAGCTGTCAGGGGGGAGCAAAGGCATCAGCGATTGCAAAGGAGGAACAGGGAACGCTTGCATCTCCTCCATGGGTCTGCTGGGACTCCAGAGCCCCAACCACAGGCAAACCCCAACAGGGAGCGCTCACGGGGCTCGCCATGGGGCGAGAGGCTGCAGCACCCCGGAGGTGCAAGGGTTGGAAGCCAGGGGGGACATTTTGGGGGAGGGAAGTGTGCTTACCTGTGGTGACGAAGGAATAGCCACGCTCAGTCAGGATCTTCATCAGGTAGTCAGTGAGGTCGCGGCCGGCCAGATCCAAGCGCATGATGGCATGGGGCAGGGCATACCCTTCATAGATGGGGACATTGTGTGTCACACCATCGCCGGAGTCCAGCACGATACCTGGGGAAACAAGAAGCAGCCACCTGAGACGCAGCCCACAAAGGGCCCAGCCCTGGGGAGCAGAGCACTTGTCAGCTGTGGGGGACCAGTCCTGGGCGTCCTTGCTTGTGGAAGAGGGGCCAGCGGGACACTTGCACTCACCAGTGGTACGGCCAGAGGCATACAGGGACAGCACAGCCTGGATGGCCACGTACATGGCGGGGACGTTGAAGGTCTCAAACATGATTTGGGTCATCTTTTCACGGTTGGCTTTGGGGTTAAGGGGGGCCTCGGTGAGCAGGGTGGGGTGCTCCTCAGGGGCGACGCGCAGCTCGTTGTAGAAGGTGTGGTGCCAGATCTTCTCCATGTCGTCCCAGTTTGTGATGATGCCATGTTCAATGGGGTACTTCAGGGTCAGGATACCTCTCTTGCTCTGGGCTTCGTCTCCTACGTAGGAGTCCTTCTGACCCATACCCACCATGACGCCCTGCAGGGGAGGAAAGGGGGGGGGGGCTCAGCGACCTCTCCACGGGGCTCCCCAGCAGTCCGGGCATCCTCCCTCCACACGGAGGGCTGGAAGGCAGCAGGGACCCGTGACCGTGGCCGGGCTCGGGGGGAGGCTCGGAGGGAGACGGTGCCATACCTGGTGGCGGGGGCGGCCCACGATGGAGGGGAACACGGCCCTTGGGGCGTCATCCCCGGCGAAGCCGGCCTTCACCAGGCCGGAGCCGTTGTCGCACACGAGCGCGGTGGTCTCGTCCTCGTCGCACATGGTGTCGGTTGTCTGTGGGGGCACAGGCTGAGCCTGACGGGGACGGCGGACGGCCGCGGGCAGAGGGGGGCGGGGGGGGAGGGGGAGGAGGAGGAGGAGGAGGAGGAGGAGGACGAGGCAGCGGGGCCGGGAACTTACCTGGGCTGGCTGCGGGCTCCACGCGTCGGGCCGCTGGCAGACAGGCCTCCCCGCTCCTCGCCGGGTAGCTCGTGGAGCCGCCGCCGGCCACCGAGCCTTTTATCGGGCCGGGCGGCGGCAACGGCCGGCCCCCAGGAATGCGGCCCCGGCCGTCGCCATATTTGGGCGTCGGGCCCGGCGCGGCCCCGGCCCGGCGCTGCCCAAAGAAGGCGCTCCTGGCCGCGGCCCAGGTGAGACAGGCCCGGCCGTATATGGAGCGTCTGACGGGGTCGTCCCCCCCCCCGCCCCGCTCCACCACCGGCGGCCGGGGACGGAGTAATCCCCACCGGCACCGCCGGGGCCGATCAGGGCAAGGCCGG